CTGCTGAAATACAAACTACCAAATATCTGCTAGAATGCATAACTAAAACATGAGAAATATCTGGTGCAGAAATACATGCTCAATTTATGCTTGCATGCATGCCTTCATCACCGCTTAAAGCAAGAATCAGCAATGCGGAAATCAAGAAAATTTCACTGACAAGATATATATTCGTGCCCGGGACAGAGGGCCAGACCTGATGAACTGTTTAGGTCCCTTCTGACCCTGGAGTACTATGATACTAAAGAAAAACTAAGTTTATCTACAGTTGGAAACCATTAAAACAGCCTAAAGCAGATTCTGGATGTAGACTCACAGCCTCAGAGCAAAGCTAGCTTCCTCAACAGACCATATATATTTCTTCATAATTCTACAATAACATAATCCAGCTCTGAGACTGAAAGACTGCTATGATTGGAGCTGGACATACCCTTCTGCTGTTTCCAAAAGCATTGACTTGCCCCCTTCTACTTCCCAGGCCTAGCACTCAGGTATCATTAACATTTGCAGTGCTTGGAATGGCTTGTTGGTCCACACTACTGTGGAAACACAGGAGGATACAGCTAATTAGATTGCAAAAAGGGGAGAAAACAATTGGAATTACCTCTTGACGTAGCCCATGTTGGCCTCGTGGTTGTGCTGGTTGCATAAGCACCTATTAAAGGAAGACAGAACAAAATGCAAGTGAGAAACAACTGTATTATGGAGATAGTGTCATTAAGGTGAAAAAGGAATCAGAAAATCAATCTGGTGTAGTGTACAAAAAAAAAAGTGAGACAATTAAGATCAATGTCAGCTGTGCTGACACCCTAATTTAACTTGAAGTGAAGACAGGGAAGGCAGAAGTTCGGATCTTGATTGGCAGAGAGGAAGTGTATCTCAATGACAAGGTTTCCACCATCAGTTACACACTCACTTCCCTGTTGTGATACAACACATGGAAAGTGAAAATCTCCACCTACTCTCAACAACTCTTCTCCTTCAGCAAGAGCAGCACACAAAACGATACTGCTACACAAACATGGCAAAGCCTATTTTTGGCATAAATCTTAACTGGGAGTGAATGAAAAGTGCTCTCAGGAGCTAGAATGCTAACTCATAAAGGAGAACATAGGAAAAGATTCTAAAATAAAAATAGGAATATAGGAATATTCTAAAATAAAAAACAGAGGTTACCTGAACAGATGACACCAGCATCTTCACTATGTCCACAGTTATGGCTTCCCCAGCCCTGGTGAGGGCATTGCCAGAGATAGCACTCATTTCCTCTGCACTGCACATCATCCAGGTGAATATACCCAGAGCCTTGACCAAAGTAGGCACTTTGCGGGGATGAAATGGCGGAGCCACATCCAAGCTGCCTGCACACAACCTCAGCATCGCTGAAATCCCAGGAATCATCACAAACCGTCCCCCAGGCTCCATTGTAACTGATTTCTACACGGCCCTCGCAACTGTTCCTTCCATTCACCAGTCGGATGGTTATTCCTTCAAAAGCACAGAAAGCAATATTTAATCTTATCACAAGCCCTCACAGTCACTTACATGTTGGCATCTTCTTACCCCTGGTATTATCACTTTCTCTTAAACACATCTGAAGTGCCCTAGGATATCCAACGGGGTATACCTTCCTGGTGAGACACCGCGGGCCCCAGAATTATAAATTCTCATTGTTTCTACAACCATATCCCAAACCTGACACATTAAGGCTTGGCAGTTGTAGTAAAGTCTTTTTGTGAGCAATCAGTGAAGACTATAGATTATAAATATAACTAATGTAAGCAAAACTACTGAGAATTACCTGTGGTAGGTGCCCATGGGTCAGAAGTGCCTGTAGTATGACGACCTGATAAAAGAGAAGAGAGCAACATTCAGTTTTATTTTAGAGGAACGTACCTTGGTGCTCAACACTGAATCCATTAAGGGAAAGCAAAAAATGGCTATGCTCTGCATACATCAGCCAGCAAAGCAGACCTGCCTGATACAAACTCCTGTTTTGATAGTATATCAATGTAACCATCAATGTGGCATGAATATTCTCAGGCCACTGGCTTTTCCCAGGGGCTCTGAATTAGCACACATCAATGTGGCATGAATATTCTCAGGCCACTGACTTTTCCCAGGGCCTCTGATTTAGCACAGGACTGTTTAAATTGCACTCATTTCAACACTCTTGACCCATATGGACTCAATAATTCTTTTTCTAAAAAAACCGACACAAAGGATATCGTCCGAGGGTATGTAATTACCCCAGTTGTGTACTGAATCCTGAGTCCTTGCAGTATTAGAGTTTACGTCCTGTCCTTAAGTCACAATTGATAAGGATTCTTCTGTATACTCCATCATATGCAGTTACATAACAGAACTAACTCTCTCTCTCCTTAGGTCATGTATGATAGTAAATATTAGAAAAGCTCCTGAGATTTACCTGTTGTAGCAATCCATGGTGGAAAGGTGGTGGTAACACCTGTCAGTGCAATAGAGAACAACATGGAAATGAGGTCTACACACTAATATGGCAAAGGACAGATTCCTATACACAGTAATGTATCAGTATAGCCTTCCTTCCAGCACTGACATTCTCTAGGTCTGGCTCTTTCCTGGGTGCTTTCCGCATGCATACCATGTTAAGAAAAACAGGATGTTATGCTGCCTCA